AGAAACATCAATGTTTGGTTGCCTCTCATGTGTCCCCTACTGGGGACCTGGCCTGCAACCCAGGCTTAAACCCTGACTGGGAATCACACTGGCGACCCTTTGCTTCTCAGGCCCATGCTCAATCCACTGAGCTACACCAGCCAGGGCTTGAGGCTTGCTTTTGCTAAAACTCCTTCACCCTGGATTGAGGCAGCAGGTGCTTACTGTAACTTCCTAAAATCTGAGCCAAACTTCTCAAGTATGGAGTGTAAGCAGTTGAATCACTTTTCCCCTTGGTCTGCAACATCCTTCTCTTTGAAGTAATTAGCAGCATTCTCTCCTTTGTTATCCGTAAAAGGTAATCACCTACAGCAAACCTGTGCATAGCAAATGAGGACCATCCTGGATGTAATGTACCCAGAGAAGCAATAAAAGCCTGTCCAGACAGGGGCCAAGGCCCAATCTCTCACTTAGAGAATGGTCATGCTGTTCCTTTTCCCCACAGGACTTCTGTAGTCTGTGTAGTTGTCTCTCGAGGCCACAACACTTGAACCTTGCTGGCCAGGATCTGAGTCAGCCCATAAGTTTATTTCCTTTAGACTTTGAATTGCAGAGAAACTAACGATAAATTTGGATTTGTTAGTAAACAGGGTTTGTGCCACACTGAGCAGTTTACTTTGAGAAAGCATGTTTCCAAAACTTATAAAAATATTTATAAATTTGCCAAGCCAAAGAATGCTAATATGCAAGATAGTTAATAAATTTTACCTCTTAGTTTTTACTGGAAATTAATAATTTTAAAGATTAAAAAGTATAATATGTGTAATTGAAGCTATTTGAAATAATAAAAGGAGTGACTGTGTATAAAGAAAGTAGGACGTGTTTTTGGCTACAGAAAGTTATGAAGAATGGAGATGCATTTCTGCGAAGGGATATGAGAGTTAATTTGGTCTAAGTTAGAAGTTCTGGTTATGAAGGGTCAATGAAATGTAAGCAAGAGACTGACGAGAGAGAAAAAAGTGAGAATTTTACTTGTGTAAGCTGGTTAAAAATTGAATTGTTATTAAAATGGTTTTTAAAATTAAGCTTTAACATCAAATGTATACCCAAACAATTTCTTGTGGATCTGCTGAAAGGATTTTCATTTATCTGCTAAAAGGAAAAAGTTTTCGAGGGCAGTTGGCCTGCTCCTGGTAAGAGAGTGTAAAAGGTTTTTTCCTTTTCCTGTAATCTTCTGAGAATGCAAAGAGTTTGAGTTTTATTAAAATAATTTCCTGTGTTTTATGTTGTCTTAATCAGGTCTTTGATTACTTAAGAAAACTGAGTCTTCTCAGTAATAACAACTAACCTTCTATGTCTGAGTTTGCAACTTACAGGTCACTTAGGTCAGATAGGTAATCCTATTGTTTCATAATAGCCTCTGGTTCCTGTTTAAGTGTTTTAGAGCCTTTTGATATTTTTGACAAAATTCCCACGAATCAAATTCTAAATAAAGTTTTTTCACCACACACCAACTTTGAGATTTCCTGGAATGCCCCTGGAAACTCTCAAAGGATTTGTTTCTCTCCTCATAAAAAGGGACCTATTAAACTAATTAGACTTGTCCGGTATATGAAATTACATGGGAAGCATTATCAAATGTGAGATGATAAACCTGCTTATGTTATATTATATGGGCTAATGCAAATTGTTTTAGAAATTGTATAAAATTCCTAAAAATATGGTGTGCCCTGGTATTATATTATTGTAACAGGGTGCAGCCAAGAGGGGGTCCCCAAAAAAAGGATTTGGAATGGGGTCCAGAACTCAAGGTGTCCAGGAAATATTAGAAAGACATATAAGATGTTCTCACCCCTTCCCAGCCACAGGTGTGAGTTGGGGGAAGGGACACATGGAGCAGGGCCATTGAAAGCTGTTTTGTACAGCAACAGCCTTGCAGCTAACCTCTGGCATGGTCATTTAACATATCTGTAATCTTTAACTGGTTTCATAGAGATGTTAAACAGCTATGGCCAGGCTCTGAGCCAGGGGGATGGAAAGGGACTTCCCCCCAAGATGTAACTGGCAGGCAGGTCCCCCAGGTGACAGCGCCTGTGTAAGAGCTTGGACAATATTGGCTCCACACCATGGAACCACACCTGCCCAGACTCACAATGGCAGCCCAGGAAAGCTGGAAGGATAGGGGAGTGCTGGCAAGTGTAGCGAATTATGGGAGGAATTGGAAATGGGGCTGTAGAGGAAGACTGGCGCAAGGATTTAAACCCAGACTCGGCAGCCATTGAGGAGAGAGCTACACGCAGCTTGAGTAGGGGACAGTACCACGCGGCTGTGCCAATGCAGGGGGAGAGACATGTGTTTCTGGCAGAGTGGGGAATCCCACAGCTTTGGTAGAAGAGGACCACGTGGCTTTGGGATGCTCCATTTGGCTCCATGGCCTGGTAATCAGGAGAGACTTTGACTGGAAGAAGGGTGAAAGAACTCTTGCCAGTAGGCCATGAGGAGGTACCACAAAGCTTTGGATTAATTAGGGATCCTGCCTGGATGGCGTCACAGCTGATGGTGCCAGCGGCTTGAAACACAGATGTGTGCTTCTTTTCCTGAGATATGATACCCCAAATTAGGGCAGGGGGAGAAAGAAGTACTGTGGGCATCTGTGGGTATCTAAAAAGGACTTTGATATTTTAATGAAGATGTTAGGTCTCTATTTTAAGTCTGTATAGCATTAAATAAACTTTTCCTTTTCACAAATCTCTGGCATACAGAGATGTCTTTCCCATCTGACGGTGGACTTAATGAACCTAGCGGGGGATCCTTTCAGTAATAGTATATGGGCCCCCCCTGTGCCCTTGGCTGTGTTTCTGTAACATTATCACTTGTAAAGGTAGTTATTCTTTTAGACTGTTACATCAAAAAAATAACCAAATTTTCTTGTCAGTTTCCTTGTGAATTCTAATTAGATTTTAACAATGGGCAAACTTACTACTATTCTCTTACCTTCTGAAATTACTGTTGTCAAAAACTGAGGCTCACTAAAAGCACTGAGTGTATCAGGGAACTGCCCTAGCTGATGTCAGTGCAAAGGCAGCAACCACAAAATCTACAAAGACTGTGGCACATGAACGAAGTCCATTCTGCTTCTGCAAAAGTGACCCTCTGTTGCCAGATTTTTGCCATCCTGATGTCCTTGCTGCTCCCAGATCAGAGAAACCCAGATGGATAAACAATGGTCGTAAATTGCACAAATAGGTGGGAAATGGAAAATGTCAGCTTGGTTCTACCTGGCTCGCTGGCAAAGTCCATTTCTCAGGTTTTTGCATTTTTTAACCCACCACAGTGCATTTAAGAAAGATGGTTTTGTCCTAAGAGGCCTCAGACCTGCTCCCTCTGAACCCTTTGAGCACCTGCAACTGGACTTCATTCAACGGCCACTCAGTGTGGGTTAGAGATATGTTCTTACTGTTGTTGTGTGTGTTTTCTGGATGGGTTGAAGCCTTCCCCTGCCATGAGGCTGTTGCCCTCACAGCAGCAAAGGAACTGTTAGAAAATGTGTTTTTACTCCCATGAGATAGTTACTGGTAGACAGTGTCTATCGGAGTATATAACCTTCTGCAGTTCCCTTGCCTTATTCTAGTGTGAGCAAGTACTGTAAGTCTTTAATGTGTTATACTCAAGCCTATTATTAACAGCTTAAAGATGCTTTCCATGACCCCAGTTCAAGGTATCCTGTGGGTTGGTTACAGGCTAGAACGTGGTGACTGGTGCTCTGGAAAGGCCACCATAGGATAGCCCGTGAGCCCCATTGAAAGGGACCTTGCCAAGCTCCCTGACCACTGACACTGCTGCCAAACTACACGGCATGGAGCCTTGGGTGTGCATCTCACAGCTGAAGAAGGCTCCGCCTGTCCTGTGTTCCTCTGCAAATGCCGAAACCCTCAAATCAAATTGATGAAGAGAAGAAGTAGCTGACATCCATGTAGACTGCTTCTGCCCAAGTTGCCAGATAAAGACTTTCTACTTTAGCGAAACAGTAAACCCTTTCTTCTTTGTTTCTTCATCATTGGTCTGGAAAGATATGCCATCATCTATTATCTCCCCAGTTATTGCTGGGAGTAACCTGTGGAATTTAAAGCAACTTTTCATTTCAGGGTAGGAGAAAACCTAACTGACCACTGGCTTGAATGGACAATTGTGCCCAACAGGGTTTATCCTGGTCTGTGGTGGTTATCGTTCTTCCTGGGCCTCTAATGCTAGATGACTGGCCCCCCGCTGAGCAGAGCCTCGTAGATGATCTAACTGTGCTCCTAACTGTTCTGGAAAGGACCCGCCAGGAGGAATTCATAATTCGGGAATTACTTCCTTTGGCAGGGTCATATTTTCCTGGTTAGGAACAGATACAAATGGAAATATGGTCAGAAATCTCTCCTTAACTCTTGGAGTCATTGTGGATTTCATTACCAAGGCATTAGCTGTCCAGCAAAGATCTTCAGACTCTGGCCCAAGTTGTTCTTCATAATAGGATAGTCCTTGATTAGCTTTTCTCTAGGCAAGGAGATGTCTGTGCTGTGGCTACAACCACCTGCTGTATCTGGGTTAACACTTCTGGGGAAGTTGAAACTCAGCGTTAAAAGAACACTGAGCAAGCCATTTGGCTTAAGGGTGTTGTCCTTCACTGGGGCTTTCTTTGATTACTTTGGGTCTTCAGGACTCTGGAAGTGGACCCCAAACATAGGAAATAGTTACCCTGCTTGTTGGTATCACAATACTCTCGTTGGTGCATTTTATCCTCTCAAATAGTTTAAATGCACGTTTGCAGTCACACTGCCAAGCAACTGGTCTCCCAAAGAGTGGAATGTCAAAAAGGGAATGAAGAAAAGGCCAATTTAAGGAAATAGGAACCTGAAACTGTGTGACCTGTGACTATCAAAACTTGTGACTAACACACAGAGTATCAGAAAAAGCTACAAGAACTACAAAGTGATAGCTGAGAGTGCTCTAATGTGTTAATTTCTATCACATCCTAGGGCAAGAGTTCAACCAAAAGGAGGAGATTGTTAAAGAGAAACAACATACTCAAATGGAGTCGGTTGTGGTAAGCACCACCAAGACTTAATACCTATCCTAATTACAGTTTCAACCTCTCCCAGGGGTGGAATTTTACACCAATCAGTCTGGAATTTCCTGATCAACCACGGTGAAGTAACCTGCTGGATAAGACCCCCTGCCTTCTCTAAGGGAAGGTGTTCTTGCCTGAAGTAATCTACTTTTTAAAAAAAATAATCTACTCTTTTACCTTTTTTGCCCCACCCTCTTTCTGCCTATAAAATCCTTCCATTTTGTACAACTCTTTCCATGTCCTTCTAGTTGCTAGGTGAGATGCTGCCTGACTCATTAATCACTTAATAAAGCCTGTTAGATCTTCAGATTTACTCAGTGGAATTTTGTTCTTTAACACCTCATACCCCAAAGAGCCACTGTTCCTTTCTGAGTCCTCCCTCTCGGAGAGCACCCTCTAAAGCTGGGACTTGGTGGTCTTGAGCTCTGCTTCTACTTTTCTTTGATCCTGGGCATTAGTTTCCCCAACTGTAAGCAAGAGACAAGGAATGTGAAGTCAAGCACCCACAGTTTTTTATAGTTTTTTCATTGCTTTTTTTGGAGGTGGGTGGGTAGTGAAAGGAAGTGAGAGAGACATTGATGTAAGAGAGAAGCATCGGTTGGTTGCCTACCATACATACCAGGCCCGGGGATTGTATATACTCAAATCAGGGACGAAACCTGCAACCTAGTAAGTTCCCTGACCAGAAATTTAACCCAAAGCTTTTGGTTACAGAGTGATGCTCCAACCAACTGAACCTCACCACCCTGAGCTCCATGATTAAAAAAAAAAAAAAGATTTTATTGCCCTGGCTGGTGTAGCTCAGTGGATAAGCGTGGGCCTGCAAACCATACAATCACGGTTCGACTCCCAGTCAGGGCACATGACTGGGTTGCAGGCCAGTTCCCAGCAGGCGACTCATGAGAGGCAACCACGCATTGATGTTTCTCTCCTTCTCTCCTTCCCTTCCTCTCTAAAGACAAATAAATAAAATCTTAAAAAATAAAAAGAAAAGCCCCGGCTACTGTAGCTCAGTAGATTGAGTGCGGCCTGTGAAGCAAAGGGTCACCAGTTCAATTCCCAGTCAGGGCACATGCCTGGGTTGCAGGCCAGGTCCCCAGTGGGGGCCACGTGAGAGGCAACCACACATCGATGTTTTTCTCCTACTCTTTCTCCTTCCCTTCCCCTCTCTCTAAAAATAAATAAATAAAATATTTTTAAAAAAGGTTTTATTTACTGTAGAAAGAGGGGGAAGGGATGGACAAAGAAAGTGATAGAAACATTGACTGGTTGCCTCTTGCATACCCCCAACTGGTGACCTGGCTCACAACCCAGGTATTTGCCCTGCCTGGGAATTGAACCAGTGACCTTTCAGTTCACAGGCCAGCAGCACTCAATCCACTGAACTACACCAGCCAGGGCCAAAAATGTTTTAATGAAGGTAAGTTTGATCTTTTCTTTAAGGTATTAGCTAACATATTTCTTCATCATAAAGATTCCTTTTCCCCCTTTGAAATTAATAAATAATATGGGTGTGATACTTCGGGCTGTGTGAATATTCTGTTCCCCATCTTTCTCCCAGTGGTTTTAGTATTCAATAATGATTCACTCCTGAAATAAAATATTAGTATGTTAGTTGTGTAGTGGCAATTTTCTATTTCTATCATCCCTTCTATGTTTACTAGTTGGCATTCTTCTTTGGCTTTCTCTAAATTTAAAAAAAATTTAAAAATATCAGCATGGTCATGGATTCTATTTTATTAGGTGTGTTGTAATCTGCTCCTATCCTTATCTTTTTTGATGCTCAATTTGTCCCAAATTTAGCAAGTAGCAGCCCCTTAAACTGGTTCTATCTCCTTGACACATCTTCCTTTGTTTTGATCACTTCCTTGATTTCTGGCACAAGATGCTCCAGGTTCACCTTGAAATTAGGCATTTTCCCAAAGGGTCTGGGAAATAGTGTTTGGAAAGCAAGTCCTGGGTGCCATGTGTACTCACTGATCTCGGCTGAAACTGCTTTTAGGTCCTGTCCATGGACACAGCTAGGAAGCATGTTTTAAAAACCATTGGTTCATAATGATAGCTCTGACTGATGCCCAGGTCGGTGGTATAGGTCCTTCCTCTCCTTCTGCTGTTCCATATTGGTGTCCTTGTTCTTCCACAAGTAACTCCCTGCTTGCTTCCTCAAAACGCCAGTGATATATTTACTCATTTGCCCAGTCCTGCAGTTGCCATCATTACCAAAAACCAGCCTACCAAGGTCAAGTTATTTTTTTGCCCTTAGAATATATCTCACTGAAAGTGGATAGTCAGAATACTGTAGGTTCGAATGTTTTTTGGATTCTTTTTTCTTTGCAATTGTGTCTATAATCAATTTTATTTCTTTCACGTTCAGGCCTTTCTACCCCCACCCCCATCTTGTTGACTTAATTTTGTTTTTTTAATATGTAAAATGCTAATAACATGGTTCAAAATCCAAAACTGTATAAAACATTGCAGTTGCATTCTTCCCCTTTCTATCTCTTCTTTTCCATCGCCCCAGCCACCATAGGTAACCAAATTCATTTGTTTTTTGTTTAACTTTCCTGTTTCTTACTTGTAAAAATAAATGAATAAATATATGTAAGTATATATGAAATGTAGCATGCTTCCATTTTTTTTCACTTAATAATATATTCTGGAAATCAGTGTATGTCATTTTGTAGAAATGTTTTTCATTTTTTAATTTCCCAGCTGTTTAGTACTCTATTAAATAAGTGTGCCATAGTTTATTCAACCAAACCCCTACATATGGGCCTGTAGGGTGTTTCCAATATTTTGCAGTTATAAATAATGCTGCAGTGAATAACCTCATGCGTGTTTTCTTGTATGGTTAGAGGTGTATTTTCAGGGTAAATTTGTAGGAGTGGGATTTCTAGGCCAAAGGGTAAACACATATGTAGTTTTGCTAGATACCTCCTAATTCCCTACCACAGGAATTGTACCATTTCGTACCCACCAGTAGTGAATGAGAGTGCTCGTTTTCTCAAAATCTGTTCGGCAGACTGTTTCTTCAAGAGTTGACATCTTGCCAAAGTGATGGGTAGGATATAGCATCTTATACAGTTTTAACATACCCTTCTCTTTTTATGAGCTGGGCATATTTCATCTATCCTTTTCCTTTTAAAAGTTGATATAAAACATTTGTGATAATACTTGACCTGAATCTTTCAATGTGCTAAAAAGTAAAATGAAACAAAAATTTCCTAATCAAAGACTCTCCCTCTGAGTGGTTTTATGTACACAAGAAGTAGTTTTATAATGTGTTAGAGGGCAGTGACTTTCAAGATAAAGCATTGTTTTGTAACAATATTGTGAAACAGTTTGATATGTGAAGTTAAAAGAAACATTATCTGAGTGGAATATGTTGTGTATTTGCCTCTGCAATTTAGAGAAAGGTTAATAATAATCTTGTTATTTGCCGTTTTGCTCTATTACAGAAGGTGCTCTAATTTTTGTAGGGTCTGTTGGGCAAAAGTTATTATCTCTATTTATAAATGAGGAAACAGACTAACAAAGGTTTGGGGACTTACCCAAGATGATGCGACTAGTGAGTGACAGAGTCAGAATTAGATCTTAGGCTGTTTGACTACTAATCCAGTATTTTTAAAAGTACCTAAAGATTCAATACTGAATTATGAATTTATATGCTGGGCGTTTGTTTCAATGGTGGGTCAAAAGTTAGGGTTTTTCTTGTGTGGTGATGGAAAATTTATTTAAAAACACTAACTATTTCAATGAAATGGCTAAGTTAACAATGTTTTTAATGTTTTTTTCTTTCTGATTTTGGGCATGCTCAGTTACTGAGGCTAAGCCAAACTGACGGTCAATGGAGATGCTGAGAAAAGTGGGGCTAAAGTGTAAACAGGGGTCTCATTTACTATTCTGAGGCTTTGTTGGGTGGGGGGGGGGTTCCTGTCAGTCTTCCCTCAGTGAGTTCCCACTGCCGTTGAGACGGACTGGCTCCGTCACGTGGTCTGCAGTCCCCCGGACCTGGCCCTTCCCGGCCTTCGGCTTCAGGCTGCCCGTCCTCCCGGGGCTGTCTGCGCCTTCACCGCAGTTTCCCTTCGTTCGGGCCTCAGAGCTGCCATCCAGGGTCATTACATATATTCTTCCTGGGCTGATTTTTTTCTCTTTACCCAGTTAATGTATTCTCATGGCTCAGTGCTGAGATCAAGCAACACTTATTTGGGAAGATCTGATCTCCTCCCCTGGGCCAATCTCTCTCTTATATTCTCTCATAATACCATGTACCCCTTCTTCACAGCACTTCTCACAATTGCAATTTTACAAATTTTTGTGCACTTACTCGATCGATGTCTGTCTCTCCCACTAGTGTGCAAGCACCAAGACAGCACGAACTCTGGCTTCGCTCACCATGGTGTTTCACAGCATAGCACAGTACCTGGCACAGAGCAGAGTTCAACCAATATTGATAGTGGTGATGGTGTGCATGGTTGCAGGTGTGCGCGAGCATGGGCACTTTCCTGGGCTTGGCAGGCCACTTGCTTACCTTTGCATGTTCTCTGTTTTATTGTCACCTTTCCATATCCACTTATGACATTTCGAGCCTTTAGTAGATTTTTTTACTGCATTGCTCTCTAGCTCCTATTTCTGCATGTATATTCTCTGTTTTGTAACCTATTAATTCAGACACAAAAGCACTCCTAAGCCTTCATGGGTTTAGGGGTTTTGGTGAGAATTTGAGGAGTTATCTCCTCTGCCACCCATCATTCCACCAACTCTTCTTTCTTCTCTGTTTCTCCCTCCTGGTTCTTCTTCCTCTTCTACTTCAGGAGTGTTGTGTGCATCTCATGCCACTCGCGGTGATTTTGCAGAAGCCATGGTACCAGCCAACATCCACGACCCCACAGGTATTCTCCTTCTGCAAATGGTCCGAACCAGGTGTCTTCCCAACAGAGATAGATCTTGTGCAAGATGAATTCTAGTACCAGCTAATAAAAGTAAGTAATAATAAGAGGAAGCAGTTTTGTTATGTTAGAGTGAGATAATTTCTGGTCAACTTCCCAGGGTGTCCAGTGCCCTAGTCCCTGCCATCTGGGGGGAGATTAGCGGAGGGGGACAAGAAGTGTGACTAAGGAATTACCTCTGTCTGCTTCCTGGGAGGCATTTCTCCTACTGCAGTCCTGTCATAGGTCCTTCGAAAATTCCTTTCCAGACGCTCCCTTCTCTCCCATCCCCACCCTCAGGCTACATAGTAGAAATGATTACATTCTCACGAGTTCCTCTGAGGACACCTGGGCAAAATCAGACTCAGGACAGACCATTTGGATTTCTGGAATCACTAGGTAGGGCCTCCAGCCAGTTCAAGGACCCCTGACCTCGATATGCCACCCTCATTTCTCAGACACTTGAATGTGTCTAAGTTTTCAAAGCGGGTGTTTCTGCCACCTTCGGTTTTCCAGGGTTTGTTGTAGTCCTCTACCCAAAGCTGCCCCGCACAAGGATTTCATGTGATGTTGCCTTCACTTTAGAGCTTGAGGTTTTGGTCCCCCTACCCAGAGAGCTTCAGTTTTATCCTGTACCAGGTGTTCATAAGTGTGAGTTTTTATTTAGATAAATTGACAGTGATAAACTGCCAGCCCATTCTGCACTGAGCATGTTTCGTGTGCCAGGAGCTGTACCGTGGTGGGTACCTGCATTATTTCATGGTCATTTACAACTGCCCTTTGACACGGATTTGGTAGACTATATTATCCTCATCATAAAGGTGCAGAAACTGGGACTTAGGATAGGAGGCTTGTCCTCAGACACACGTCTGTGAATAGCCGCCTTTGAACCTCTGATGAACACCAAAGCTGTGAGCCCAAATGTCAGACTATTTGCCATGGCTGCTGGGGAGGGAAGGATGAGGACTTACAAAACACAAGAAAACCTGTGTTTTGTAAGTCAGCAGATATATTTACATGTCTCCATATAAACAATGAAATTTCTCCATAGGAGTTACACAAGAAGAAACAGTAACTCCTAAAAAACACCTGGCGAACTTGGCTCTGCCTTAACGTTTTTTTGTTTTTTTTTTTTTGCCTTTTAACTATTTTATATTTATCTACATATACCACCACAGCTATCATTTTCACTGTATAAATGAGAAGTTTAAGTCAGGTAACAGACCAAGGCTTTTAAGTGTTGGTGCTAACTCTTGCACACTTTCTTTCTCAGGGGAGTTGGCAGAGAGCCCAGGTCCTCCTACCTTTAATTCCTAGAACCTGCAGTTTTCTGACGCACGGGCAGAGGTGCCAAAGAACCTACACTCAGAGCAGAAGACAAAAGCGCTTGTGAGCATTGAATGAATTTCCCTCCATGTGGCTTCAAGCTACCAGCACAGAAGCTCCACCAACACTCAGTCATCTCAGCTCTTCTGCTGAGAACGTGGCCGACAGGACCACAGGCTGCTTCGGGAGCAGTCCCGTCCCCAGAACTTTGTACCAGCCCGACCGCACCACATCAGTGACGGGAGCGGCCCTGGTCTTGTTTTTGGCAGTGTTTACCTGTGTCTGCTCACTGACCAAGGTCCACAGTTTATCCAGGTTGACAGTGGGGCAGAAGCTCTTGTTCCTCTTTAAGTGGTCGTGCCTCATACCGACTTTCCCAACGTGACCTGGGTGATATTTGTCAAGTTGATCCTGTGATGATGCAAGCCACCAGCATCACCTCGGCCTCCCGGGTGCTTCCTGTACTTGCTGATGTGGCCATGGCTGTGGCTCACGTGTCCCCGAAGTTTCTGGGTCTTTCTCAGTCTGGATGGCATATTGGTGGCTGAGATGCCAAAGCTGCCTTAACTTTCAATTTCACTCATCAATGCCCTACTTTTCTTTTATCAGCATCTTTTTGCTACTCATTCAAAAAGCCTCAACCAGCTCTTTTGGAATAACTGTTCTTATAGTTTTCTAGGAAAAAAAATCTGCTTCCTTTTCACTTTTTCCTAGGATTTTTTCACACAAGGCAGTATCTCTAAATTTGTACCATTCTAGGCACGAGAGAAACAGAAACTATTAATGAAATTTTTAATGTTATTTACTTCCTTCTCCCTGCCAAACACACACACACACACACACACACACACACACACACACACACACACACACACATTGCTTTTGCATAGTCATTATTCAAAACACGGACTTTAAAACTCCTGCTGCAGGCAGCTGATGATTAAGATGACTTCAAAGCATGTTGAGCTTGTGTGAGAGTAGAGAGGGGGTCAGCTGCAGTCCCAAGATGTAGCACACTGTGAATGAGTTCTGGAGCCTGCTTAAAGACCAAAAAGGTTTATGCAGCAGGAGGGCTAACGACCTCCTTTCTAGAAAAATGGACTGACTCAGAATACGGATGTTCCGCCCGGCATTTGTTGTTATGTGCAGTTGTCAGGGAGCCTTTGAGTCATCTGTTCTTCTGTGTTCACGTGCAGCTGCTCCTTTTAGAACAATCTAGGACATGTCACTGTTGGCTTGGAAAGGGAGAATGGCTTTTCTTTTAAACAAGTATATTTTGTTGATTGTGCTATTACAGTTGTCCCAGTTTTTCCCCCTCTTCCCCCCCAGGTATGCCCATTCCCTCCAGCAACCTCCCCCCTTGGTTTATGTCCATGGGTTATGCATGTAAATTCTTTGGCTTCTCCATGGCCTATACTGTTCTTAACATCCCCCCGTCTATTCTGTACCTACCCAATGACGCTCCTAAATCCCCATAACTTTTCTACCATTCTCCCCCTTCCCAGCTGATAACCCCCCGAATGATCTCCATATTCATGATTCTACTCCTGTTCTAGTTGTTTGCTTTGTTTCTTTCTGTTTTTTAGATTCAGTTGTTGATAGTTGTGTTGGTTGTCATTTTAATGTTCATAGTTTTGATTTTCTTTTTCCTAAATAAGTCCTTTTAACATTTCATGTAATAAGGGTTTGGTGATGATGAACTCCTTTATCTTTCCTTGTCTGAGAAGCACTTTATCTGCCCTCCCATTCTAAATGAAAGCTTTGCTGGATAGAGTAGTCTTGATTGTAGGTCCTTCCTTCTCATCACATTGAATAATTCCTGCCAATCCCTTCTTGCCTGCAAAGTTTTTTCTGAGAAATCAGCTGATAGTCTTATGGGAACGCTTTTGCAGGTAACTCTGCCTCTCTCTTGCTGCTTGTAAGATTCTCTATCTTTAATCTTCAACATTTTAGTTATGATGTGTCTTCATGTGGCCCTCTGTGGGTCCAGCTTGTTTGAGTCTCTCTGTGCTTCCTGGATTTGTATGTCTATTTTCTTTGCCAAATTTGAGAAGTTTTCTTTCATTATTTCTTCAAATAAGTTTTCAATTTCTTGATCCTCCCCTTTTCCTTCTGGCATCGGATGTTGGCCCTTTTGGAGATGTACCAGAGCCTTCTTAAACCCTCCTCATTTTTTTGAATTCTTGTTTCTTTATTTTGTTTTGGTTGAATATTTATTTCTTCTTTATGTTCCAAATCATCGCTTTGAATCATGGCTTCCTTCCCTTCACTGTTGGTTTCCTGTGGATTTTTCTTTATTTCCCTCAGTAGAGCTTTCATTTCTTCCCTTATGCTTTTGCCATACTCAGTGAGAGCTTTGAGCGTTCTGACCACCAATGTTTTGAACTCTGCATTTGACAGGTTGGCTATCTCCACATCTCTTGGTTCTTTTTCTGGGGTTCTGTTCTATTCCTTCATTTAGGCCATTTCTTCATTTCTTTGTCTCCTGAGTTTAGCAGCCTCCTGTGTCTATGTATTAGGCAGAGCCTCTTTGATTCCATTTTAGTGCACCTGTTAAGTCATATGGGGCAGAGCCTTGGGTATTCGCCAGGGCAGGGCAACTGCGGCTCTGTGTGTGTGGGAGGGGTCGAAGAGGTGGCAGTGCTGCTGCTGGCCGACTTCTAGAGACTTGCCTGGTCCTTGCCCCATTCCCAGTCACTTTACCCACTTCCTGTGTGCCACTGGCGCCCCTTCAGCTACTTCCTGGTTGTGCTTCCCAGGGTGGGTGGGTTTGTGTACATCCGGGCTCTCTGGCAGTGTCTTCCATCACCCCAACCCCCACTGGGTTTACAGCCAGAAGTTATGAGGCTTTCTTTCTCCTTGCATTGGAGCCCTGGGCTGCACAGTCTGGCCTGGGGTGGGCTCACTTGCTTACAAGGTGTATCCCTGATTTTTATCCACCACGTGTGAATGTGGGGCTGCCTGCTCCACTGGCCACCATCGCCTCTTTGTCCCAAGCTCGCTGCTGCCACACCAAGTCCTCTTCGCCCCTCCTGCCCATCTGGATGAATAGCTCCTTTAAATCCTTTGTTGTTGGCCTCCCATACAGTTCTGGGTGTTTTTTCTGGGTGAAATTTTGGCGGTCCTGGGTGTTTTTATTTTTAAGTCGGTTGTGTTCCTTCTTATGGTTGTGTAATGAGGTGAGGTGTGTCTACCTATGTCTCCATTTTGACCGTAAGCCTGAGAAAATGGCTTTTTATGTGGGGGTGGGGCACAGAATTCTCACTCTCCCTCTGCTTGGGAACATGGTGGAGAGAATGAACTAATAATTCTCAGAGAAATATATGAGTTCTGATGAGCCCAGACACCTGGAGAACAGCATGAAGTGAAGGCAGTTTAATGTAACTTTGAGCTCTAGTCCTAGCAAGAAAAAAATGAGGAAGATATGATAATTTCACTTCACTAAATAAATACTAATGCAAAGAGAAACCTCAATTTTCCGGCAGCCTCATGAAGTGAAAGCAAACTGGGTGGCTCTTGCAAAATCACTTTTGGTGCAGTGTGTCAGGGCCGTCACGCTGGCATTTTTTCCATCTGCATGGGAGCGTCCCAGTCCAGGCGGACACTGGGTACAGATAAACAGGTGGAACTTCAGGTCAGGTGAGGTCCTGGATCAACGGGCACAGGACATAAGGCCTTATTTTATTTTGTTTTTTTGTATGTCAAGTTTTTATCTGTACAGAGCATTTTGTGTGGTGCCGAATCCTGGTTTTTACTCCAGTCTTCTGTTACTTTTTCAATTGCTCTGAAGGGGTCGTGGGGTTCTGGGAGGGGTTCTGGGAGGGGTCGTGGAAACAGAAGCAACAGGATAAGCAGCATGAAATTTCAGAGTGGAAAAGGGTTTTTAGAGGAACACTCCTCCAGTGTTCC